GCAGCCTCTCCTGCTTCCCCGGGAGGGGGCTGGCAGTGCTGCTGTGTCCCCTGTGCACTGACACTGTGCCCCCAGGGCTGCCCCTGCCATGTGTCCCCGTCCCTCCCTGCCTGGCAGGGCCTGCTCTGTGGAAGGCGTCTTGGGGGCACATCCTGGTGCATCTGCCATGGCAGAGAAAGGCAAGTGAGCAACAGGTGAGGAACCCTGCAAGGTGGTGGGGATGAGGACTGGGGCGTCCAGTCCACATCTCTTCTGCAGCGTGACTGTGCTCAGCAGCTCATCTCCAGAGCTGAGGAACAGGCATTTTAAAGATCTTTTGTTTGGGAAAGCCGAGAGTCAACAGACACACACTGTTGGCATGTCAGGATATTGCTCCTCCTCCACTCCCCGAGTAATATCTGTGCTCCTGAGTATTTTGTCATCTAACAGCAGACAATAACAGCACTATCACAACTCATCATGGGAGGGGGGCTGGTGCTAGGGGTGAGAAAGGCTTAAACAAAGAGACCCTTAGAATGGCGATGGCAGCAGATGGGAGGTGCAAGGGCTGCCTGGCCAGTTATTTTGTGACCACTTGGGAAGGTCTGCTGTAAGCAGCACAGTGAGCAAAGCTCTGGAGGAAGGGGAAAACAGGCACACCAGCCCCGATGGAAGCAGCACATCTCTGGGCCAGGTCCCTCCAGGGCCCAGCACAAGCCCTGCTCTGTCACTCATTTACACCTCACCAGCAAATGACCCACTTAACTTTGCTAAACCCCCACACCACCTCTCCGTGTGCCTGTCCCCAGCAGCAGCCAAGTGGGACCTTCCCTGGCTGCCTGACCCCAGCAGAGCACCCACAGCATGGCCCAGACCTGCGACCTTTCCCAGAAGCTGCTGGACTTGCAGTAAGTGTGGAAATGGTTGCTCTGAGATCCCAGGAAACAGCAGCAGTGCTTCCTGCAAGCTGGGGGCTCTTTCCCCAGCAGCTCGTGGCAGTGCTGGGGCTGCCTGCAGGACCCCCCCTAAACCAGCACCAACACACTGGCCACAGACCCAAGTCCTGCAGAATCCATGTGCTTCCAGCCCAGTGGACGCAGCCACGGGGTGGAGAAACATAAAAATAATAATTTTGAGCCACCTGAAGGGTCAAGTGTAGGTTTTTTCCAACACATTAGAAAACAAAGAAATTTTAATCTCTACATAACCAAGAAAGTGGAAAAAAGAACGGAGTGATAAAGGTGGCTGGCTCTTGGGAAAACAAACAGCAGGAGCCTGGCACTGCAGGCACTGTCTTGCCTGTAACGTTTACAAAGGTTCAACACTCGTGTTGAGGAGCTGAAAACAAAAGGAATCCAGTTCCCTCACAGCTGCTTCGGGGAGCGGAGAGGAGATCTCTCCCTTCAGGGGGGCCATTACAAACCCTGGCAAACTGTGCCAAGGAAACCCCCAGCAGCTGGAGGGAGGATGCTGCATCCCATCATCCTAATTCCCAGATGGATTTCACTAAGTGCTCTACCTGTGCTCCTCCTCGTGCTCCAATACCACAAGCGCAGTCAGACAACCTATCACCACAGCTGATGTGCCCAGTAAGTGCCTGAAACAACGCCAGGAGGACATTAAACAGCATTTTATGTGACATGCTCCAGTCGCAGAGCAGACCCTATTAAACACAGGTCTCAGACCCTGCAGGGACCCAGAGCAGTCAGAGCTGTTCCCTGCCAAGGTGGTGGTGAGAGATGCCCTTGGGCAGAGGACTCCAGTCCCTGCAGAGCAGAGCACTTCCCTGGAGCCAGTGCAGCTCCACTGGGAGGGAGGAGCTGGATATCCAGGTACAGCCAAGGGCTCCATTGGCCCTGGGGGTCCTGCTGGCTCACCCGACTCCAGACCATGGCTCTGTGACAAACACAACCCGCTCCCACGCACAGGGCTGAGGTGGCTTCAGGCTTCTCCCCACAGAAGACCTGATGGCCTTGGAGCTGCTCAGGGAAGGAAGCCCAGCAGAGCCTGCAGCCCAGCAGGCAGGCTGACATTCCACGGCCGGCAGGACTCTGCCAGCAAGGAGCTGGCGGCTCATGTGACGTGCCACGCCACACAGCACTGTCACCACTGTCACCACCGGCTCTCTCCAGCCACCGGAGCAGCCTGGAGCGCGAGGATCAAACCCACCCTGGCTCCCCCCGAGGACAGAGGCATTTCCTGGCTCCAGGCATCCCCAGGCACGCTCAGACCCAGTGTGACTGCGCGAGTGATTCAGCTGAACGGAGCAGGAGCTCACAGCACAGGCACCCCTGCAGCCAGCCTGCAAGGGCTCCTCCACCCACCACAGTCTGCTCCTCTCCAGAACCAGAGCCTCACCACCTGAATTGTTCCTCTGCAGCACAAACTTTCAGAGGAAAACCATCAACTTCCATGCAAATGCCATGGAAACTGCTAAAAGCTGAAACAGACAAGGCAGCGAGAAGACCCAGGCTGGGACCCTCATGCAGAAGCTCCCTGAGGCTGGCAGGGACAGCAGGGCTCTCGAGCAGCCAAGCTGCTGCTCATCTCCTCCCCTTGGCTGGTCAAACTGACAATTTTTGGAGTATTTCTGGCAAGGAAGGCAACATTTCCTCCCTATACCAAACTAAAAAAAAATCCCAAAACGGTTTCAAAACAAACCCTTCTCTTTCAAACAGAAAACATTAGGTCGTTGTACTTTGACAGGATCTGATGGATATTTTGGATTTTCCCAAACTTTTCTTCATCTCCCCACGGCTGAGGGGGACGTGGCCCCTCAGCTAAGGACAGGCTCTGGGGGGAGGCAGAGCAATTAGCCCTCAGTAAGTGTTTCTGGAGCAGCAGTGTGTTTCTGGAGCAGCAACACCTGTTAGTTCTTGCTGCAAAGCAGGAAGTCTTTAGCCCCATTTCTGAGATGGGAAAAAAAAAACCAAACAAGCAACAACCCAACAGTGGTGTCATTCCATGGCTCTGAATCCCGGCTGAGTCAGGGACAATTTGGGCTTCCGGCCCCCAGGAGCCCTGACACCCCATGTTACGGTTGCACGGCTCCTGCCTCCAAAGCCACACGAGGAATGAGCAGAAAAACCAGTCTTGTCCCCAGCCCAGGCCCGGCTGGCCACTCATGGCTGCTGGTGGGATGTGGCAAGCCTTGGCAGACTGTTCCAGAAAGCCCTTCCCAAGGCTGCCAGCGATACCCGCTGCGGAGAGGGGCCAGGGAGAGCAATGCTGGGCCAGGGGAGGAGGAGACAAATTCCCTGGTCTAGGGAAGAGGTATAGGGGGCCGACATCTGAGCTGAGAGCTGTATGTGTCTGGAGGAATTGCCAGTGAGCAGTTTCTGCTGCTCACTCTCCTGGGCTTGAAGAGCTTCTGTGTTACCCAACACCATGAGGACCTTGGTCTCCCCCTGAACAGAAACGTGCTGATGGAGAGAGGGGAAGTTTCACAGCTGCTCAGCTGATCCAAGCTCCCCTCCAAAGCAGGCACAAGGGGCACTCCTGCCCCCTCCCCAGCGCATCAGCTCGGGCAAACTCCAGCATTTTTCCTTTCAGTTTGTTTTTTTTCCAGGATTAGCCTGAGGCCAGAGCAGTTCCCCAGGGGAGCTGCGGGGGCAGGTCCTGCTCCCTCGGCAGAGCCCAAGGCTCGGGGTGCAGCTCTTTATGCTGCAGAGCTGATCCAAGAGGGCGGTGGGACCCTCTCCGAGGACCCTCCGGCGGCGGGAGGGGCTGTTGCAGCGCAGC